GGGAAGCCAGAAAAAAAGTGGAAATGGGAAAGAGCCAAAAGTGCAAGCATCTGTCAGAGCAAATGTTTCCACTCTGTGCTCAGCCCCCTAGGATCTTCTGAGCTGAGGGGCTCAGCCCCTCCCTTCCTTGAGCCAAATGGTGCTGTCCTTGAGCGGGGGCTTGGGGGCTTCTGGCCCCAGTCCAAGCACAGATAACGTAGATGACTCCAGGGAAAAAGCACAACGGCTGTGTTGTGGGGCTTGGAGAAACCACCTTGTGAGAGCAGCCTGGCAGGGCCACCCTATGGGGTGTGAGAAGGAGCTGGGCAGCCCCAGAACAGGCAGTGGGACTGCAGGATTTACCTGGGAGGGGGGAGTTTTGCTGGAGATGGGAAAGGAGACACCCTATAACCTCCTGAAGTGCATGTCTATGCAGGCTCCTACTGCCAAGGGTGGATGAAGAATGGGGGCTACTTTGTGGGGGACTAAGCAATATGGGATGTCCCCATGGCTGTTGCCCACAGGAGCTCTGGGGTGCCCTGTCTGTACCCCAACCAGCTGCATGAGCAACAGGGAGGGCTTCAGAGCCCAAGCAACCTCATCTCCCCCCTTGCTGACTCTGTGTGGTCTGAGCATGTGTTTGGGGTTGTTCAGAGCTGGCTCCACATCTCTGGGCCCAGTGTTACTTCTAGTTTGGGATCTGGAAAACCTCAACGTGGTATGTTCCTCACCAGTGGAATCCCACCACCTGCCCCAGCAGCTGAGGCTTTGCAACTCCCGCACCAGGGCAATGTCCTTTATCTGTTCCCTGTCGCACTATCATCCACGGCTCTTGGGCACCAGGAGGTCACACACACATCTGGAAAGGGCTCAGACCCCTGGGAGCCACTGAGTTTTGTACAGTGTGAACTAGATGGGGTGCGGGAAATGCCTGACTGGAGATCCCTTCTGATGGGGAATCTTGCGTAATGCAGGTGGCAGCAGTAGTGGCCCCTGCCAACCCCCTGCCCTGGACAGCGAGGGACACCTGCCCGGTGAGAGCAACCTGGAGCAGTGACAGTCCAGACCAAATCCTACTTCTTCAGTACTGGCATGTCTATGGACCAGCTCCGGCCCTCAGGGGTCTGTGTCCCCCCGGTCACCATCCCACCTGCCTGCCCGGGACTGGTGCTGGGCTCGGGCAGAGAGTCAGGGCAGGGATGGATCCATCCAGGAGCTCAGCAGGTTCCCGTCTGGGTAAGCATCTCCCTGCCCCAGGGCCGCACTGGCTGCAGGAGGGTTGGTGCGGGTGAAGAAGTGAGTCTGCGCTCGATATGGGTTTCTCTGAGCATACGTGAGCCAAGCTGGTGGGATGGAGAAGGTCACTGAGGGGGGTGACAGCAGGGTGGGACCGGCAGCGGGACATCGTGTCCCAGCAAGGATGAGCGGGACAGCCCTGCTGCGCCCCCGAGAACCAGTCACATCACTCAGGGCCGCGGCCCACCCCCTCTGAAACCCAGCTGCAAACAACAAGACCACACTTCTTTCTTCTTTTTTTTTTTTTTTTTTAAGACTAGTTTTGGGTTGTTTTATCCCCAAAAAAACGCCTGCAAAGCTGCAGCAGCTTGTGTGTGTTACAGGAGCATGTGTTGGAATGAGGTTAGCCGGGGCGAGGCTGCTCCGCTGCCTTAGGGAGCTGCTGGAGATACAGTCTGTTCCCACTCGCATCGGCAGATATTTATAGAGACAGATGTTTCTCTCGCAGCAGGGTTCAAGCTCGATTTTTTTATTTTACTTTTTTTTTTACTCCCCATCTTCCTTTGCATCCCTCCTTTGCTCTTCAAAGCAATGCTGAAGGTAGAGGGAGCAGCTTCAGAAAGCAGCAGGGAAGCAGAAGAATCGCTCCCTCCCAACTCCAGGGTTTTAGGAATGAAGCGTTTGAGAGGGTGGAGATGTCCCTGTGTCCCCGGGCAAGGCCAGGGGCACCTTCTCAGAAACCCACAGACCACCAGCCCGGACCACAGCTGGCTGACGGCCCCGCTCCGGGGCGGCGCCGCGCGCCCCGGC